TGCTACAATGCGGGAGGGGGGGGAGATGGGATGGGCATGGTTGACTTACTGTGCTGGTGATGGTGGGTGTGATGGTGATTGTGGTTGTGGTTGTGGCTGTGGTGCTGGTGCTGATGGTGATGGTGCTGGTGATGGTGGTGATGGTGATGGTGATGGTGCTGGTGATGGTGGTTATGGTTGTGGTTGTGGCTGTGGTGCTGGTGCGCGTGATGTTGCTGGTGGTTCTCGTCGTCATCGTGATCGCGGTCATCGTGTTCGGTTGTGCTCGTGATTCTGGTCGTGATCACGGTCATTGTGGTCGGCTTGGTCATTTGTGGCGTTGATACTCGCAACTCAACACGCCCTCGCTCTTGCGATCGTCGGCCAACCTGCCACAGCGCGAGGTCGGCAACCTCGTGCAGCACATGCTGGGCACGCCACTGTCGCGCGGCCCTCCTCTTGCCTCTTCCCCGGCTCCTCGGCTTGACTCGTCTACCGTCCCTCTGTATCCCTTCGCCTCGCCACTCCTCCCGCCGCTGCCCGAGAACCCACCGGGTGCGGCGCCCGAGCCACTCATGCTCTCCGCGCTGCGCTCGTCAATGGCCGGCTCGCAGCCGCTTTCAGGTGAGTCGGAACTCGAGCAGTTGCGTGCAGACAACAACGCACTGCTGGAGACTGTCCAGGAGCTGGCAGTTCAGATTCCGGAGCAAAAGCGGCTGTATCACGAGAAGATTGAGCGCGGCGAACAGCGGGTTGCCGGTCTGCTCGCCGACCTTCGGGCTGCCGAGCAGGACGCTACTGCCGCCCGCGCTGACGCCGAGGCGTGGCGCACGCGCGCGTCACAGCTCGAGGCTGAGGCCTCAGCAGCGCGCAACGCCTCGCACAAGGCCTCCACCGATGCTTACTCGGAGGCAAATGCATTGCGAATCCGTATTGGCGAGCTCGAATCGCGGCTGGAGGTCACCGAGTCGCGTGCTGCTCTTGCATCTTCGCTGCAAGCCCAGCTTGACTCGGTCCAACGCGATGCTGCCAACGCCGCCGCTGCCGCGGAGACTCGGCACCAGACCCAACTCGAGAGCATGCGCCGCGAGCGCGACGACCTCGCCCGCGAGCTTCAGGCGGCGCGCGATCAGGCAAATGCGACCACTCGTGATGCCGACGCGCTGCGCACTCAGCTTGCTGTTGCTGACAAGGCCCACCAGGAAGCGCTGCATCGGGTCCGCCATGAGCTGGACGAGGCGACCCGGACAGTCGTCAGCCTCTCGTCTCAGGTCGGCGACCTCGACTCGGAGCTGCAGAGCGAGGTCGATGCCGAGCGCGCCGCCCGCATCGCTGCCGATCAGCGCGCGGCGTCGCTGGAGGCGACCAACGAGACGCTCCGCTCCGAGTTTGTTGTCCTCCGCAACCATCTGCAGGCGCTCCAAGCCGATACCGCCGCCGCCGTTGCTGCGCGGCAGCAGCTGCAGGAGGCACAGGCACAGGCTCGTGCCGCCGAGGATGCGCTCAACACCCAAAGAGTCACGCTTGCAGCACTCGACGCCGAGCATCGCAACTGCCGCTCGACCCACGGCCAACTGCAAGCCGCACTCCAAGCCGAGCGGTCGCGGGCGAACCAAATCGAGGCTGCCCTCGAGGCTGAGCGAGCCCGCGCCTCGAAGCTCTCGGCCAACTCGCTGGCGGCTACACCGCGGCGCTCAAGTAGCGGCTCACCGCGAGTTGCGCCTGGCTCGCCGTATCTCTCGCGAGCGGCGTATCAGGCCCGCGAGGCTGAGTGGCAGCGATCACTGGCAGCGGTCAAGGACGAGCTAGAGGAGGTCCGTGCCCAGCTGGCCCAGCATGGCGCGTCGGCAAGTGTGGGTCCGGCGGCGGCACGCGGCACGCCCGCCAAGGCCTCGGCCGAGCTGTCTGAGGCATATCAGGCACTTCGAGAAGAGCACGCCGCGCTTCGTCAGGAGATGATGATGATGCAGCTGCAGAGCTCAGGCGGTTCCCCTGAGAACGAAAAGGCTCTCCGCGACCAGATTGTGCGGATGGAGAACCAGACCCAAGAATTGCTCGCCGAGCTTGACGCGGCGCGAGAGGATGCTGCAAAGGCCAGGGCGGCAGCAGTTGCTGCTACCAGCGAGGCCGGTGGCTCAGTCCAGGCCGCCCAGGCGCTCGAGGACGAGCTCACTGGTTTGCGGAATGAGGCCGCGGCCGCGGTCGCCCAGGCCGAGGCCGCCGAGGCCGCCCAGGCAACCGCCGCCGGCGCTGCTGCAGCCGCACAAGCCCAGGTCGCCACCATGGCAGACGAGGTGGCGGCGCTGCAGACTGCGCTCGAGAGCGAGACCCGCGCACGAAGCGAGGCCGAGGCCGCCATGGAAGCACACCAGGCGTCGGCGGACGATATGGAGCGGGCTCGCGCCAGCTGGCATGAGACGACCCGGCAACTACAGGACCAGATCGTGCAGCTCTCGGCAGAGAGCGCTGAAGCGGTGAGCCGGGCCGAGTCGCTGGCGGTTCAGCTAGAGACGCTTCGTGGAACGCTCAGTCTGGTGAAGGAGGAGAAGGAGCAGGCGCTCCAGGACAAGATGGCGTTGGGGCGCAAGGTGGGCCGGCTGGTGCGTGGAGCACAGGCGCTGCGTGACGAGCTCAAGGCTGCACGCGATGAGGCCCGACATGCGCAGACGGCGTTTGGCGCAGAGCGGGCAACGTTTGAGACGACGCTGGCAGCAGCCGAGCGGATGCGCGATCAGGCCCAGGCTGCACTGCAGGCGTCCGAGGCATCGTCGGCGTCGCTCTCGGCCAAAGCTCGTGCTCTCCAGGAGCGGGTCACCGACCTAGAGGCCGCACTGCTGGCGGCCGAGGAGGCGACAGCCTCGACCCGGCTCGCTGAGGGGCGGGACAAGGCGTCGCTGAAGAACAGCATCGCGAGGCTGGAGATCGAGCTCGGTGACGCACGCGAGCAGCTGGACGCGTTCCAGGCCCGGGTGCAGGAGCTGAGCAACGAGCTTGGTGCTGTGCGGAGCGCCAACAAGGAGCTGCATGCTGCGATGGGCCAAGCGCATGCCGCAGCCGAGGCGGCTCAGGCCGAGGTGCAAGTCCAGAGCGCCGAGGCGAGCGCTGCTGTGTCGTCGCGCGATGCCGCTTTGGCCAAGTGCGAGGACACAGCAAAGGCACTGGCGCTTGCGCGCGAGGAGGGAGCGGCGATTCAGGTCGAGGCAGCGCAGCTGAGGGCACAGGCTGATGCCGCTGAGCGAGCCAATGCGCGAGTGACCGAGCTGCAAGCAGCGCTGGCTGCAGAGCGCGAGGCGGCCTCCAGTGCGGTGGCACAGCTCCGCGATGAGCTGCAGGCACTCTACTCGGATGCGCAGGGGAAGCTGCATGCCGAAGGCGCGGCACGAGCGCAGCTGCAGGCCGAAAACGAGAACTTGAGCTCGATGCTTGCGGCGTATCAGGCCAAATGCATTTCGCTGACCCAGGCGTCGCAGCTTCAGGCCGCGATCCGCAGTGGTGGCGGTAGCGGTACCTCTGGCGGTAGTGGTGGACGGTCGTCGTCAGTTCCACCCGGGTCCGCAGCGTCTGACCGGGTTGCCGAGCTTGAGGGCTATGTTCGCGAGCTGGCGTCACGGCTTCTTACACGCGAGCAGCAGTTTGTGGAGCTGCAGGCCGCGCATCGCGGCACCGCGCCGTTGGAGGAGGCGCTGGCTGCGGCCGAGGCCCGTGCCGAGGCTGCGGCCGAGCGGCTAGAGGCTGAGGTGCAGGACAAGGCTGAGCTCGAGGCCGAGCTTGAGCGGCTGTTTGAGACGACGACGTCGCTGGAAGATTTGCTTCACGAGGCATCGCGGGTGCAAGCCGAGCAAGAGCAGCAGCTGGAGGCGGCCCAGGCGGCTCGCGCGGCGGTGGAGGCAGCGGCTGGCGAGTCTGCTGACGAAGCTGCGGAGCTGCGGCAAAAGCTGCGCGAGCAGGCGGCAGAGGCCGAGGCGGCAGCGGCGGCCGAGATTGCCGAGGTGCGTGCCAAGGCCAAGGCCGAGGTGGCGCGACTGGAGGATGAGCTTGTCGAGGCCCGGCGTAAGGCGCGACAGGCGGTTCAAGCGGTCGAGGATGAACTCGATAGCGCTCGGGCACGGGCGCGGAGTGGGACCCAGAGTGCGATAGAGGCCGCCGAAGCCGAGGCGGCGGCGCTGCGGAGAGAACTGGCGAGTGCCAAGGCTACCGAGGCGCAGCTGGAGGTGGCTCAAGCGCAAGTGGCAGCGATGCAAAAGGAGCTTGCGGCGGCCAAGAAGCTTGCGAGCGAGCTCGCCGACGGGCGCGTCGATGGCGAGGCGCTGGCAGCAGCGTTGGCGCAGCGCGATGCGGCAGTGGCGGCGCTCGAGGTTAAGGAGTTTGAGCTCCACGAGCTGGAAGTTGCGAGGCTGGAACTAAGCGAGAAGCTGGCGGCGGCCGAAGCGGCGGCGACCAAGGAGGCAGCGGCGGCCGAGGCAGCGGCGGCCGAAGCAGCAGCGGCGGCCGACAACGTGCCGGACACACCCGAGCCGCGTGCGGGCAACAGCGATCGGGAGCGAGTCGAGAACGAACTCTACGAGACGCTGCTTTTGCTGGAGGAGACGCGTCGTGAGGCTGAAGCACAGCGGAGTCGGGCCGAGGCGGCCGAGGCGGCTCAGACACTTGTGGCCGATCAGGTTGCGGCGCTGGAGCGCCAGGTGGCACAGGCCGAGGCGCAGGCGCAGTCTGCCGCCGAGACAGTGGAAGCAGTGCAGGCTGAGGCTGAGCGCGAGGCGCGGGCGCAGGCGCAGGTGGCAGTGGCGGTGGCGGATGGATGCGATCTGGACGTGGCACGGCACGAGACCCGCGAGCTGCTTGACGACTTTGCCAAGCTCTCGGTGACGGTAGCGGATCTACAGCGTGCGCTCGAGGATACCCGAGCCGCGCTCGACGCCAAGACGGCAAGAGGGCGAGTGCTCAGCCGGCAAGTGGATGCTTTGGCGCATGCCCTTGCTGCGATGGAAGCTGAGCACCACGGCAAGGACGCCGTCGATGTCCAGGCCGTCTTTGATTGGCTCGCAACCGTAGTTCCCGAGGAGGAGTAAACGTCGCCGCGCAGAGGCAAAAGTTTGAAATTTTTGTGACGTCAACCATTAACGGAACGAGAGATTGAACGATTAATTGGGAGGAGTCACGGGTGGGCGGGGAGCGGGCGAACGATGAATGAAACGAGAAGATGAACGATTAAATTGCGGTGAGCGGCAAAAGTGCCAACGGCTTTGGGTCTCAAACGGTCGAACGAGCGAGACACGGCGGCGAGAGTGTGGGCGAGGAGGACAAGGGCGAGGGGCGAGGGGGGATAGACAAGGGGCACACTCGACTCTCAGCAACATTCATGTCGCTTGCAGTGTCTGGGCGGTCACCCGCTCGACGTGGTAGTCATGGATCTGGACGGCGAGGTGATGGACTCGGCGGTGGTGGTGGTCGACTCGGCGGTGGTGGTGGTCGACTCGGCGGCGGTGGTGGTGGTGGTGGTGGTGGAAGCGGGACGGGCACGAGGGGCATGGCCAACCACTCGCTGGCAGGTCATCATTCGGGAACGAGGGGGCAAACGAGTGGCAGTGGCAAACAGCGGATGACAGGCGATGGCAGTGGCATGAGTTTGGGCAAGGGCGGAGGAGGAGAGCCATCGCTGGAAAAGGAGTACATCTACAATCTCCAGCAGCAGGTGTACTTTATGGAGATGGAGCTCAAGCTGTTGCGGGAGTCTGGTGCTGTGCCTGGGAGCGGTGGTGGTGGCGGCGGCGGTGGCGGTGGTCGCTCCATGCTTCCACCCGACATCGAGGCTGCTTCCCGCCCGCTGGATGATACCATCAACTCGCTCAAGGTCAAGTACAAGGCACTGCAGGACGAGCACAAGGAGGAGATGGCGGTTGCCAAGGAGACGCAGGAGGAGCTCGAGGCAGCAGCGACCAAGCAGCACTTTAACATCCTGCATCTGCGGGCCGAGATCGCCGGCCGCGACGCGGAGATTCTGACGGCCAAGGAAAAGTCGACGGCTGCGCTGTCCGAGGCGACGCAGAGGCACATGGACGACGTGAAGACGATCGAGGGTCTCGGGCGCGAGATTGAGGTGCTGGAGGGAAAGCTAGCGAGCAAGGCCGAGGAGGCGGCCGAGCGGACGTCCGAGGCGTCGGCGGCCAAGCTGGCCGAGGCGCAGGCGTTGGCTCGGGCCGAGGAGACGGCCAAGCGTGCGGAGAAGGCCGAGCGGCGGTACAACGACCTGCTGGTGACGACCGAGTCGATCCGGGCGCGGGTGGTGGAGCTTGAGGAGGAGCGCGGGACGTTTGAGGAGCGGATCGAGGCCGAGCACGCAGCGAACAAGGTTGTCTCCGACGCCAAGTGGGAGGTGGAGCTTGAGCTGAAGAAGGTCAACATTGCGCTCGATCAAGCGCAGCGTGCCAAGGAAAAGGTGGACGCGGATCTGGCGACGGCTGTGGAGGAGACGATTGCGGCGCAGAGTGTGATCTCGGACTTGCGGCGCGACAAAGCAGCGCTCGAGCTTGTTGTCCAGCAGGAGCGGGCGACGCGCGACGAGAACAAGATCAAGCGGATCGAGTTCCAGAACGAGGCCCAAGAGCTGCGGCAACGGATGGCCGACGTCAAGGCTGTGCTTGAGGGCAAGGACGAGGCTATTTCCGGGCTTGAGAAACAGCTGGAGCGGTCGCAGCTGGCGCACGCCGAGGCACTGGCGGCGATCGAGGAGCTCCAGGCCGATCTCTCGCGGGCACACTCGCACTCTGCCGAGCTTGCGGACCGCAACGCGGTGCTCAAGCACGACAAGGCCATGCTGCAAAACGAGCTTGCCGAGACCGAGGCGACGCTTGCAGGCGCGTCGTCGGACCTTGCGGACACCAAGACGTCCAACATCGAGCTCCTTGCCGAGATCGAGCGGCTCAAGTCGGTGGTGGCTGTCTCGGAGGACATCCAAAACCTTAAGATTGAGGAGTTCCAGAACATGCTCACCTCCAACTCGCGTGTTGCCGACGGCCTTCGCGACCTCATTGGCGACCTGCAGATGATGAAGGATCTCGGGTCGCAGCTCGAGGCTGCGCGGGCGACGGCGACGTCGCTCTCGTCGGCGTCGCCATCGCGCCCGGCCTCATCGCTTTCGCAGCGCTCCGATGGGTGAGGAGGGCAGTCGCTCACGGTAAAGACCAGCTTTATCTCAGGCTATGAAAGAAGCGAGGAGATGATGGTCTCTATGTCGCCCAAGACTTGCGCGGAGAGTGTGTAGTCGTTGTCAAAGGAGGCGCGGTCGAACGAGTCACCGATGGGCACGATCCAGTGGTTGTGACCGTTTGCGGCAGAGATGTGATAAAGGAAGGCGTCTGGAGGGGTGAGGGTGAGCTCGATGACGACCGAGCCGTGTGGGCAGAAGAGAAGGCCTGCAAGGTGTGAGCCAGTGATGCCGATGACGACGTTGGTCTGCTGCCAGGTGCGGACCTGGTCGACGAGCGAGTCCTCGCCGGGGTCATACATGGAGACGGAGGAGGAGTGCGAGGCGCCTGCCGCCGCGATGACAGTGCGGAGGCGGGCGACAAGGTCTTCGGCGTTGTCGATGTTGCGGCCGATGCCGTGCTGGGCGATGATGATGTGGAGGTCTGCGGGGGGCGGGGGCGCGAAGCCGGGCGGTGAGGCGAGCGGCGAGGCGGGCGTGACCGAGGCGGACGGGGCGAGGTGCTGGACGATAGCTTTGCCGACAGCGGCGATGCGGGACAGGTCCGGCAGCATCTTGTAGTGGAGCGGGGCGTAGTAAGTGTCGAGGATGGCCCCGGCGTAGACGAGCTCGGAGGAGCGGTCGATGGTGCGGGCAGCGATAGAGGCGACGGCGGCGTCTGCGGTGGCGGAGCGGGGGTGCGCAAAGCGCGAGCGAATGACGGCTTCGAGAGTGTCGGGCAGGTAGATGGACTCTGCGAGGAGGTAGATCTCTTCGTGGGCGATGAGAACGTCTGCAAGCCAGAGCATGCGCTCGAGGGTTTCGATGGTCCAGTGAAAGAAGTGGATGTCGAAGCGGGTGCGGAAGAGGGCGAGGACCGGGACGGTGTGGACAGTGGTGACGCGGCCGTCGCCAAAGAAGAGTCCGCCATCGTCTTTGCGAGCGATGCGGGGTGGCAGCGGCTGGGTATCGACGTTGACGGGGACAACCTCGTCGAGCACGATCTCGGGCTGCGGCGGCTGGGTCTCGATGGCTGAGGTGTGGCGCATGAGCGGGTTGAGCTCTTGGATTTCGCCGCGGGCAGCATTCCACAGCACGATCCGCTGATTGAGCGAGATGGGGAGGGGGTGGTCGCGCCAGAGCCAGGCGTTGCGGGCGAGAGCGGTGTAGGTGTGGCGCGGGGCCGGGGAGGCGAGGCCAGCCGGCGGCCAGGTCCGGGCGCTGGGTGGATAGGCAGCGGCTTCGGCCAGGGCCTCTTCAACGGACGCGCCGCCGCTGCGGGGAGGCTGTCCGTCCGGAAGATGGCAGAAGAAGGCCCAGTCCTGGCGGTACATGGCATCGCGGCACCATGCATGGCGCGAGGCCGGGCGGAGAAAGAGCGGCGCCGGGCGGACGACCGGCACAATGGCAGCGGCACAGAGAACCTCGAGATCGGAATCGCCGCCACGGGCGTAGACCTCCTCAAGCACGTTGGTGATGCGCTTGATGGGAGTTGACATGCCTTCCTCTGGCTGCGGAAGCCAGGCTTGCGGGAAGAGGCCTCTCTCTTCTGCATCATCAAGCGAGATCGAAGCCAGCTCGGGCAAGTTAGCCATTTTCAGAACTGCAAGCATGTTTTTTGGTGGCGAGCAAAATAAAGCCGGCAACTGGCCAAAGGTCGCATCGACAGCAGAATCAATGATGCGCTGTGTGGCATGGTCCGGTAGCACTTGGCTCGGCACTTGATAGCTTCGAGCAGCTGGTTCTGGAGGTGGTCGCAGAGGAAGAAAGCGGTGACGAGCTCGTGACGATGACCATGCCGACGATGACCATGACCATGACGATGACGATGAGTGCGACGAATTGGGGAGGAAGGATGACCATGTAAAGTTGAGCACTACAAGAGCTAGTATGGTGGCCACAATCATCCTACGGACACCAAACTTGGCGAGTACCATGTCTAGGAACTATACTACCTGCAGTAAGAGTGGGGTGGAGGGAGGTGGAGGGAGGAGATAGGGAGAGCAGGTGGTGTGCGTGGGGGGCTGTGAGTGACGTGGGATGGGCTGACCGTGGCCGAGGGGGGGGATTTTTGGGTTGGGCAGGCCAGGGGTTTTGGGGGGGGGGATGGGGGGGATGAGTGGG